GGTTACTTGTTCCGTTTCAAGAGAGTATTAAATTTTTATTTTTTTATTTTTATGTAGGTAATAGGTCGGCAAACGAGCAGACGGATTACCGTAACGAAGGAGTTACGAGTGCGTTGCCGACCTTTTAGGGATTAGGGATTTGGAAATTTAGGAACTGGGGAGGGATTGGGAAGGAGAAGGATTGGGCCTCCGGTAACCTCACTCACACGGCGAAACACAACACTGTGGTTGTTTCACGCCGGTTTTCTGTGAGGCCGTGGTATCACTCCGGTCGAGCCGACCCATTCGTGTCGAAGCATGGCTCTCGCACACTCAAATTAGTTAGGAAAAAAGGTTCTATACTATCAAAAGATTATTTTGTAGTAATTTCTTCTATTGTTTTTATCTGTAAGGCCAATAAGAAAGAAGAAAGAAGATAGATTATTGCATTGTTTATTATTTCCGCCATTTTTTTTTTACTTTTCCCTTACTAGGTTTTTCTCCTATATGGCGTGTGCGTTTAAAACAAACAATTTCACGCACACATCACAAGCCAACAAGTGGATCACACAAAGAGTCGTTCCGTTTAGAAATCGAACCCGTGACATGTTGTGCGGCAGCCGGTTACCCAGCTACAGCATCAAGTGTGCAGTCGATCACTGTTTTAGTTCTCACATAAAGAGAACGAAGAGAATAAAGAAATACCAACATACCTAAATTTACCTAGTGAACAATACAAAGGGAAAATAGGCTCTAAATGATTGTAAAACTGTCCTGACACGAGCTCCAGTGACATCTTATTACATAGCCAGGCTTGGCTTCCTCTCGCGCCATATATTACAGTAAGCCCTGATAGCGGGCCAAACATCGGGATTGAACCTCACACTGCCATTACCACTCTCACATAATGTAAGAATATTTACCTAAACGTACATTTTGAAGTGTGGTCTATGAATTTTTTAATGTTTCGGAAGACTTCGTAAGTAATTTTATAGGCAGCTTCTTTGAAATACCTAGTTTCAAACTAATTAAGACATTAAAGTATCATTAACAACAACACATTATACTGACCAATAGACACACTAATTTTGATTATTGAGTAATAAATTTAAAATAATTATGCGTGTATCGTAAAAGAACGTATGTACCTTAAATTCAAAGTCAAAGTCAAATCATTTATTTGAATAACAGACCTTTCCTATATTTATTTCTTTAAATCAATTTTTCTGATACTAATACGTGTATACGAAAAACGTCGAAACGATTAAACAGCATCATTGTATCAGCCTAATCCCTCGTCTTACGAGAAAATCTTTGAAAAGTAGACAGAGCTAAAGTTTCCAGGAATCCTCGGATTAAGGCTCAAGCCTTTTAGAAGAATGACCTTTTTGTTTATATTATACATATTGGTAACTTTAGATAAAAGTTTGTATCCTTATTTTAGGCATGACATTTTACAGCATCTTCTCGCTTGCTTGTTACTTTTTATTTAAATATTTGGCTATGAGTTTGAGATGCAAAGATTGAAAAAAACTAATAATTTTCTTTTGTATAACCTGTCTTGACCTTGAACCTAAACATTGTGCGAAACCTAATAGAAATGCCAGCCTGATCTAGCTCACAAATTAAATAAAAGTATTCTTATTTCTTTTAAAAAACATTTTTTATTGTAATTAATTAAAAAATAACTTCGCAACCTAAAATTTTGGCCAAGCGTCTCACTTAACGAGGAGAATAAATTTGAAGAAAAATTGGAAGCCTGTTCTAAATATTTACTTTTAGTGTTATTATTTCGAAGGCTTTAGTTACACAATGGCAGGCAGTTTGTAAACAGAGCTTAGTGGTTTATTGTAGTAACTGTGGGTAGAACAATAATCCATTAATGTCACCGCAATAACCAATTGTATGCAGTCACTGACAGGTTGCTAATGTGCCCACTATTAAGTAAGCTTAGCACAGGTCCGCTAATTAATTTGTTATTTAGAAAAATGTTCCTAATAGTGGATTGAACTAACTCTGTAATTAATAGGACAAAATGTGTGTTGGAGATAATCGTTTCATTATTTTGCTACGTATAATACAGGTCTGCTTTTAAGCAGGATACGATTTAATGAATAAAAAATAATACTTATCTTATTAAACTTTACGAAAGATCGAGTCATTTTCTCACCCATATAATGAACAAGTCCAGAATCGCTTCGCTCCCAAAAAAAAGCGTTCTCACAAAATCCGGCAGTTCTTCAAATTGCTTGTCAAACCATCTCGCTTTACGACAGTGTCTACACATAAGCCCTACAAGGCTACACAAGCTATATAAGGGCTATATGGGAGATCTCTTTAACGTCCTGAATATAGCCTCAAACGTTCTCTGAGAATACCTATACTCACGTGACTCAACGTGTTATTTATACAGGCTGTTTTATTAAAGTTATAAATAGTTTTGGGTTGGGTTTTATTGTGTCGAAAATAACGGAGTTAGAAACAGACTTTTTTTTAATGTTACGTAGTTTTGATTTTGTTACGTTTTAAAAAATAAACATTAATAGTGTTTGTAGTAAATATAATGTAAGTATTGGAGCGTTAAGAAGGATTCCATAGTTAAAGAGATAGATTTCACTGAAACTGAAAATTAATGCTGAAACAGGGATGCTGCGCTTGCAGGTTTAGTGTTTAAATTAGAAAATTGCCAGAGGGTGTAAACTTGGCTAAACAATTAATTAACTGCAGTGTTTAATGTAACGTAATGGACCTTTAACTTTACTTTTCATACAAAATACATTTCACAAACTGTAATAGTATTCATAATAGGTATTTGGGTAACGAAACAAATAATAAACTATACATATAATACATAATTTTACGAGTAATCAGCTTAAATTATTCTATACAATTGTATTTGGAATTAATGAAATATTTAAAAAAATCTGTCACTCACAAGAATGTAAGGTACTCTACCAGTTTACATGTGTAGTCAAGCTTCTGCCAAGACCAAATTCGCTTTCTTTACTATGATAGGTACCTATTTAACATGTTGTTAATGATTATAACTCAACTTTTTCTTACTTAAGATTTAACACCAACCACGTAGTAATTTTAATAAGTGTGTAGCTTCAAGTTATTTTCCAACGATTAAATTAAAACCATAAATAAATTTCAGAATCGATTTCAGTAACAGTATAGGTACTGTTCATCTTAATTTATCGTCTATAACTCCACAGAAGAGCCCCAGTATAGCCGGCTACAGCTACAAATCATGTTCTCCTATTGTTTCGATATAGTTTGCCATGCGATATTATGCTGAATTTGTAAGCTAATGGAACATGGTCAATTATTAATATAGAGCGTGGATACATCGCCTGCAGGCTGAGGAAACAATCCGCTTTTGTGTATATGCCTTACTGTCCTGCTTGTGTCTATTGCTTCGTGTACAATGCTTGTTTTGTGTCATGGGTACTTGTCACATAGAGTGTCTATATAATAACTTATTTTGTAAGTATTATGGCTTGTTAGATCGTGCGTGAATGTAATATGGATATGCACCAAGAATGTGATAATTTTGCGAACTTATGTAGTTGTATCAAATTATGCTATTACATTGTACCGTGTTTCGCTATTGTACCAATACAATAATTAGCTGAGCTATTATTTATTTAGATAATTTTGATAAATGAGAGATAACTTCTTTCTTCGTACATTCTTAAATTACATATAAAAATGTTGATTTTTTACGTTTTTTTTTCTATTTTCGACAAACTTACAAGTGGATTGAGAGGATTTGGGAATTGGAAATGAGGAGTAGGATAACATTTGTGTATCCAGTCACCTCACCCACGACGCTTAACATAACGTAGGTCACGTTTCACGCCGGTATTTTGTGAGGCCGTGCTGTCATTTCGGTCTAGCCGGCCCAATCTTGCCCAAGAGTGGCTCTTCCACACTTTTAAATCTAGAATAAGCCGTAACAAATCCAGCTTGAACAGAAAAAGTGGTATCATAAAGATTAACTAATTTAGTTGGATTTTTTTAGCTAACAAGTACCTTTAAAGACTAAAGATAGACACTAGAATAGATATTGTAAACTTTGCTAAATCCAATACAACTCACACTTTTTTAAACATAACCTAGTTACTCACCAAATGACATCACAAAGTATCTAGCGGTAGCGCAAAAGATGTCTAAGAGATGCAGCCTGCAGCAGGACGCGAGGAAACAATTAGCTCCATTGTGCATGAGTCTCCGTCACAGGATTGACGTACCTCTGTGTACCAGTGTGTCACGGCTTTATGCTTCAAGCATTTGTCTTATAGAAGTTTTGTGAGTGCTAGTTGCAGAAGTTTCTGGAAACAGATTCTGTATTACGGTATACTGGTAGATTGAGAGGTGATATTTTTTAAACAATGGTGATATTTCTGTGTGAAACACTATGTATTATGTCTTTAATAACATTATGTAGTAACCTTCATAACATATGCAACATTTAAAAAAAATTATAACTTTATTTAAAAAAAATAAGAGTTCGTAGTTTCAAGTCGGGTGTCTTATTAATGAACAGTGTGTACGGCGTAATAGAGATTGTTTTCAATTAAGTCCTTATTTTCAAAAATAAAATATTTATTTCGTTGGAGACAGTACAATTCATTAATCAAAACATTTCGTCAATGCTCATTATCTTACCTCTTACCAATATTATAAATGCGAAAGTTACGATGTTTGGATGTTTGTTACCCAATTACGCCAAAACGGCTGGACGGATCTGGATGAAATTTGGCACGACCATAGGATACAATCAAAAATATATACACACACTACTTTTTATTAACCCACCACGCGGGCGTAGCCGCGCGCGGAAGGTAAACAGTTATTCATCTGTGAATATTTTGTTTATCTTATTTGGAAGTTAACTTTCTGTTCTATTTGTGATCAGAACGAACGGCAAACCTGTTTGTATTATTAGTGAATCAAGAAGTTCTTGGAAATATTTAATACTACAATTATTAAATCCATTATTTCTATTGTTACAGACTAAACTACAAACTCTGTGGTTTCTCACCATGGTGGTGGCATGTGTGCAATGTTGCGCTGCATGCTACATGTTGCGCGCTGGTCGCACGTACTGGTGCTTTAGTTGCACGGTTGCAGCGTCCGTTCGCCGCACTCGCTGCGTTGCTGTTCGCCGTACACCCTGTACATACAGAAGCTGTAAGTTATATAATTATAGAAAAACATATTTTTTTCATATGTGATAGGTCGGTAAACGAACACCGACCTTAGTCACCTGCAATAACGAAAGAGTAACGAATGCATTGCCGGCCTTACGGCGATTAGAAATTTGGAAATTTTAGGATTGGGGAGGGATCGGAGAAGGGGAAGTATTGGGCCTCTGGTGATTTCACTCACACGGCGAAACACAACGCTGTGGTTGTTTCACGCCGTTTTTCTGTGAGGCCGTGGTATCACTCCGGTCGAGCTGAACCATTCGTGCCGAAGCATGGCTTTCCCACACTCAAATGTTTAATACCAATTATGAATACCTAAATTCATATAACGTAACTTCATTCGAAATTATCACACCTAAAATCTCAAGAAACGTAAATTAAACCGTCAGTGTACACTAGAATACGAGGAAGGAAAGTAAAATAATAGTAGACTGTTACTTAAAGCGTAAGAATCTTTTGCAAGTTAATTAAATTTAGTTTTATACGGCATGCATACGGGTAGTACGTTGAAGCTATGAATAAGAATGAGGCGCTTTGAAATACCACATCCATTTCAAATAGTTTCGCTGAGCACTGGAACCCGTCAGCACGATCTACGTTACATGAGATCTATTTATTTATTTACATTTAGAATACATGTATACGTTCAGTATATTTAAATTATTGCATATTTATCAACTAAGCATGATGGTCCTTAGGTACGGATGCATTACAATAAGTGGTCACATGATGTGTTTGTTTTGTTAATATTTACACAAAGAACTAAGTATAAAATATCAACTAGAATCTCATAAAGACACTGAAGCCACGTGTAATAAGTTAGCTTTATGTTTTCCTTAAAGATACACCTACATACATTACAGGTTTCCACAAAAACAGATTGAAAGAAAGTAAAATACAAAGTATTTCTACTAATAGATACATTATGCCTCAAACCTCTTGCGTACTACCGAGCTCTTAATGGACGTTCCTTAGAAAAACTATTTACTACGTGTTTCAACGAGAATTGCCCTTAAAATGTCTAAAAGCACTATCTTGTCAGTTCGCAATTCGATTTGAAGCAGACTGCGCACGCAACTTTGGCTACAGCAAATCATTTGTGTGTGCGAAGAGCTGTAGTTTTATTGCCAGCAGTACTGAATATTTTATTTTGTAATCTTAGTCAGGTATTAGAAGAATGTACTGGCAAAAGGTCGCCTTTATTTTTGTTTTTATTTTTTTTTCTCAGACTTTTATTAGTTACGTCTTCGTCTTGCTCGCAGCATTTGCAAAATAATTCAATGTCAATTTAAAAGCGAGTTGCTTTTACGAAAGCCTTTAGACCGACTTTTAAGTAATTGTCGTAAGCCTGGATAGTACGCGTTCTGCCAAACGCTGGCTGAAGAACATTGAACTCGCTTAAAATCCAAGGACAAACAAATTGATTTTGCTAGCATTCTTATAAATAACTGAATCACGGCGTAAAAGTACGATATTTTTACATGTCGGTCTTCCATTACTCTTCAAGAACGAGACGATTCTCGACGGGCCAGCGACAAGCGTATGAATAATTCAATGTATATTATGCGATGCGACAGTAATAAATACATCGCTTGATACAAACCATATTTTTCTTTGATTTGACGTTGTTTTACTTACCTGGAAGTAGGAACTGAGCTGTGTATTTAATATTACGCAGGGAAACTCTACTGTAATGAAACAATTACCATTTAGGTTCCAGAAAATTATTTTTAAATTACTTTTACCGAGTTCATAATAAAATCTTTTTATGTTTTATTTTTTCGAGGCACATATTACCATTCCTGGATTACGAGGAAAAGATGAATAATTAATAATATTTAATGTTTCTAAATATATGTTGCATGCTATTCCTCACATATATTTATACCAGCACGCAGCTTCATCTTTGTTCTTCCATAAAATTTATTGAACGCGATACCTTATTTATGACATGTGCTGTAAATATTCGCAACAGCAAAGACTTGGCAAACGTGACTATAACACTGCGGACCACTAAATAACTTAAACAAAAGGTTGGCATCAAGAAAAAAGAACGCAAAATCCGTGCGTGAATTTGTAATAATGTTGGTCATTCTCTATTCTAACATAATACACATGGACAAATCTTTATTTTTATTGATATAAAAGTGTGATCACATTTTAGTTTAGAACGTTTCCAACGTTGTTGAGTCTTATCCTAATCTCACCTTTCACAAAATGACAAATGACAACGCCCATCAGTAACTGACCAAAAAACTTATATTTCATCAGTAACTGACCAAAAAACTTATATTTTCCCGTGAAAAGTGCATTTAGAACCTTTTTCTGACAGAGATAAATGACCTTGAGTAAAAGGTGATACTTCTGCACTAATCTGTTTTATGCCACTAATGTTCAGTTCACAAGTACGTTGACTGTCGCGGGTGTCGCGGCTTTTCGGCTTTTACGAGTGATTCTCTGTGCGTGAGGTCTTACACATGGAGGTTTAAAGCCAAGTCTGTTATAAAAATGTGAGCATAATGTTACATCAGGTGAATTTACAGTACATTATACAATATTGTTGATGTTTGTTACGTGAATTGAAACAAAAATAACTTGAGTCATCTTTTTGGTCCATAGTACAACTTATTGTAATATAAGAAAGTAACAATAAAGACGATATATACCAGATAAACCACCAAATCTTCAACGTAAATCCCTTAACTTCATAAAGCTTCGATCCCTTGAAAGTTATGCAGTCCTTCCACCATTCGAAAATAACTCGCGTAACATTGCGACTATCCCAAACACTCAATAAAATCTACCTTTACCTCAGAGGGGACGAAAATGTTTGCTAAAACATTCGTGGCATCTAAAAATAATCCTCTTTTGGCCACAACAGAGGGACGGGTTATAATGACTGGCTGGAAGTCCGCCCTGCCTATCGATTGGTTACACCCACCCCGTCCTATTGACATAAGCTGACAGTTTCACGATATGGACATGGAATTATGGTTGGAAATAAAATATGAATTGCGGTTAGTAAGTGATTATAGGTTGCCTTGTTATGTCGGGTATCATACGACCGACTCTAACTTGATTTCTTCAATTATTAGCATGAGTTGACTATTTAATAAGTCACATCCGTTAAAAGTTTTAGTTCTCATTTAAAAAAACAATAATATTAATACAAAAATATCTCCAAACCAATCAAAAGTGCCATCACAACGATTGCAATGAACCACAAAATCCGCCGAAAATATGTGTACAAAGGTGTTTTAAACCAGAACATTACAACCGATACCGACGCTATACACGATGTCAGCTCGCAAGACAATAAAACACATTTATAGATTTCTATCGGGACAGAACGAGCAATAAAACCGCCATATTGGATCGTACAGAGGTATTTAAGGTATGTTACGTGTAACCGGAAAGTTATACGACATTTAGTTATCGAGTGCCGCTGTTAGGTAAAAAGTAACGTCACCATATTACGATTTATCGGTTCTTTGTGTGTTTATATTTTTATTTTCGTACATAAATATGAATTTTATATTGACAGATATTTTCTGATATTGAAAAACATTCTTGCTTCCTCTGAATGTTAATTAAAAAAAATAACAACTTCTGTTTATCACAGTGAAGAAAAGTGTTTAATTATTAATAATATTTTTTAAATAGTCTTCCTATTTCAAATACTCTCATTGCTTCTTAACTATTAGCTTATACAATAACAGCCTAGCATAATGAGTGTTCATTGTTGAAACTGCAGTAATGTCTCGTAGCAAAGTTTCTCAAACAAATCACATGAAGTATGCTTGCTTGGGTCTGAGCCTGCAACTTGTGAGTCTTGTACCCGAGTGCTGCTGCCACTGTAATTTGAACGTATTATTATTAGGACTTAACTAAGCTAGATGTTGCCGCTTATATATTAGCTAGCTCCAGTAGATGGTTTTTTCAAGGAAACTGGAAAATTGTCCGGCTTTTCTTGGTAAATCGCAGTCAATTTTTTTTTATAGCACTGGTTTTATAAATTGCAATTTCTTTTTTTTTTGTGTAGTGCGTGTTGTTTTTACTTCTGTGTCAACGTGTTATGTGTGAGCAGAGTAAGATGGCAATTTAGATGAGGAACGCAAAAATAATTAATGTTGCACGATTTTAGTAATGATAGGTTAGATTCTCCGTTATTTTGCAGAACAACTCTTTGTGAGATCCATTAACCATTGCTCCGGATTTGATTTGATTTGATTTGATTGTATCTTTATTATGGTACTCACGACATAGGAGAAAAGCCAAGTGAAGAACAGTGTTAAATAAATAAAACAAAGTATACATACCTAAATGAAATTGAAATTTATGCTTGTCATTCAAGAAACAACAAAAGATTCATACATTTCTTCTACCCTGTTATCCTCTAGTATTATTTTTCTTTATCCACCCAATCAATGTGAGACCACGTATATCTCTTTGGCTAGCCGGGTGGCCAGTATCGTGAAGGCGACTCCAACTGAACTGAATCGTAAACGATTTGCGTCCGATCTAGGTCCCGTCTGTCCGGCTCATACAACCGGACAATATGTCGACTCGGAACATGATATAGACTTTATTTGTTCAGTCCTTATGAGCAATAAGTATCTGAATGAATAAGAATGGAGGATGGAGTACAAGGAAAAATATTTTCATTCCCTTTGTAAGTTGGTTTATTCACATTTTATGTATTACCCACAGTGCTCTATGTGTCTTTGTGTTTGGGTTCGACTAAGTATCTCAAATTTGGTTCTAAGGTTGAAATTGACAGTTATTTATGAAGAATACCAGTTTTGATAATAGCGAAAATCGATTTTAAACAAATACAACAATGTATTTTGTTTGATAATAGTATATTCTGCATTTATTACAAGTATTATGGTTTTACGTAATTAATAAAAGTCTACGTATTTATTTCGAGAGATCATTACCGATACTTTTAGTCTTAATATTAACTTAATATGTATATACTTT